CCCAGTCGCAGGGCCAGCGGGGAGGGTGCTGCTGCTTAGGGTCCCTCGGGTGGCGTTCTCTTACCAAGAGCACCCTTTTCGCTTCGGAGCCCGTGCCTAGGGAGCTGGGCTGCCAGGTCCCTCTTCTGGGGGTGGGGGGGAGGCCTCCCCCTCCCCGCCCCCGGACCTCGGTTTCCTCGGGGGCTGGGTTCTGGGGTGTCCCCTGTACCCAGAAACAAAGTGGGCCAAGAATGAGACGCGGCGACGGGAATGGGCACCAGGTAGCGCTAACCCACCTGGGTCCTGACACCCACAGGCGCGCGGACATAAAACGGAGATGCAACGACGCCTCCTCTCGGGGGGATCATGGGCCGGTGCGCGGCTGGGCTCCCCCTCGCGCTCTCCAGGACCGAGGTGCTGGCGGGCGGGGCTTTTACCTGGGGGCTCCTGGGTTGCTGGTGGAGTCCTGTTTCCCCGCCGGGGGCCGAATGGGGGCCGCGCTCTGCCCCAAGCGGTGCCCACCTGGGCCTCTCGCCTGCCCACCTGTGAACCACAGTCACAGCCGAGTCTCCCTTGCTGGGTTGCTGGTGGAGTCCTGTTTCCCCGCGGGGGGGCCGAATGGGGCCGCGCTCTGCCCCGAGCGGTGCCCACCTGGGCCTCTCGCCTGCCCACCTGCGAACCAGTCACAGCCGAGTCTCCCTCGTGCTCGGCAGCTGACTCACCTGGAGGAAACTCGCTGCTTTTAGCTCGCCGGGCACGGCCCACCAGGTAACCGCCAAGGTCAAGCGCCAAGGGCCCTTCACTGCATCTCCGAGCCTTCGCAGCCGCACCCAGCTCAGGGTTTGAGAGTGGGGCCTCGGGGCCCAGCTTTAGAGTTCTGTCTACCATGCCCATCGGACCCGCGTTTGTTTGCTTTTCAATTTGCTTATTTCGGAGTTTGATGAAGGATGAAAACGATGCCCCCACTGAGGGCTGATGATGATGATAATGATGATGATGATGGTGGTGGTGCAGCCTGCAGCAGTAGAGGGACCCGGATTCTAGCTTCAGCCCCGACAGCCACATGGAAGCTAAGATTGGCCGGGAACAACACACAAAAGCTCTCCCTTTGTCCACCTGCATGACCCCAAGCAAGTCGCCCAACCTGGTGACTGACCAGCCAGCCCACTGCGGGCCGGGGGCGGGAGGGCATCTGCACCGAGCCTGGCCCCGAGCCTCACACCCGGCCCACATGCTGCCGAGCCATCTGCACGGCCTCCTCCTGGGCACGCTTTGCTCTCTAGACGCCACCCCGTCCTTGCTGGGGCCACCACGTGCCGTCTGGCTTGGTCTTCGTGCGCCCCCTGGGCCAGGCCTCCCGTCCCCTTTGCTGGGAGAGTGGTCCGCTGGCTGGCCCATGTGAGGAACCACGTGTGGATCCATGTAGGGGACACTCCCAGAGCAGCAGCTTCATCTCCACGAGGACAGGGCTTGCACTGAGGTGATCACGTCCTAGACCTCAGGACTGACTACCTGAGCAGGCTCCTAAGAGCAGTGGCAGAGTGACCTCTGCAGCCCGCCCCTTGGAGCAGTTCCCCATGTGGCCACGAGATGGCAGCACAGGCAGGCCCCCTGGGGCGGGGTGTTCCCCGGGCTCCAGCATGAGCTCCTCAGGGCGGGATGCCCACCTGATTTCCCCTGAGCCCCAAGGAGAGCGAGGAAATGAGTATTTGTGTCTCTTCTCAACCTCACAATAAATAACATGATCCCGGCCTTACAGGTCGGCATATTAAGGCTCAGAGCAAGAAAGTGCCTTGCCCAAGGTCACAGCCCATGGAAATCATGACATGTTGCTTGAAGTTTTAATACAGAAAATTTCATATATACAAACCTCCACAGTATCCATCATCCGGCTGAACCACTATCAACATTTTGCCACTGTGTTTCTCCTATGCTCATTTTTGGCTTTTTGCTAGTTATTTAAAGTAAACTCCAGACACTGTGGAAACTCGCTGTAAATACTTCCAATTTTACCTCTAAACGACTAGGACACTTTTTCCTAATCAGCTATCTCTTCCTACAAAAGCAGCAGTAACTCGTTATTATCTAACACTGTTTATAGTCACATTTCCCCACGGGCTCACAGGTATCTTCTTTAGTTGGTTTGTTCCATCAGGATCCAAACAAGGCCCACACCTCCCACTCGATTATGTCTTTAAGCTCTTTTATCCCCAAACAGTCCAATTCCTTTTTTATCTCCATGCCCTTAATGAACAACCAGGTGTTTTCCCACAGAACATCCTAAATTCTGGATTTGGCTTTTTTCCTTCTCCTACAGGTGGCACAGGGCCTGCCTGGCACACAGTAGGTGTTTATTCAACGTCATGAATACTGAAGGGGAAGCAAAGTGAAGGAATAGAGGTTCGGTCCTCAAAAAGTGACAAGCAGCAGCACTATACTTGGGGAGACCACAGGCTCCAGCCCTCGGATGTTGGGGAGACCATGGCTCCAGCCCTCGGATCTTGGGGAGACCACAGGCTCTAGCCCTCGGGTCTTGGGGAGACCACAGGCTCCAGCCCCCGGATCTTGGGGAGACCATGGCTCCAGCCCCCGGATCTCGCAGAGAGGACTGCAGGCCCGGCAGTCCTGCCGCAGGAGCCAGGCCACAGCTGCCGGGGCCTCACTGGAGGGGCAGCCGCTGAGGGCAGCGGAGCCAGCGGCACCTCCTCTTCCGGCTCCGGCTTCTTCCAGGCCCGCGGACACTGGCGACAGCTGGGTTGTGAGCTTCAGCTGTGTCTCCAGTTTTCCTAGGTGCTGTTCCTATTTCGTTCTGTTTTGTTTTATTCCAAGAAAATTGAAGGTGATAGAAAAATGCAAAGAAAACCAACATATACCCATCACCCAACATCAACACTGCCCACATTGTCACATGTGCTTGCTGGGTTTTTGTTATTTTGTTGTTGCTGCTGTGATTTTTAATAAAACGCAGATAGCGATGGCGTGCTCTAACCGCGACTCGCTGCTTCACCACCGAGCAACAGCCTAAGGGGGTGGAGCCTCCAAACCGCTATTCCTCACGGACCTGCAGGGGCATTGGGGCGCCTTCGCCCTTCGCCCACCCGCATCCATCAACACTGGGCGTTTTGCGCCCGGCACCGCGCCAGGCGCTGGGCTGTAGGAAAAGAGGCCAAATGCCCGCCCCGCCCCCAAACGGTCCGAGAGCAAAGAGCGAAGTGGGGTGTTAGAAAGGAAAACGGGCCCAAGGACCGCGAGCGCCCAAACGTGCGCACTTCCGGCGCCCCTTTCCCGCCCCCCCCAAGCTTCCTCCCCATTGGTGTTTCCCTGACCACGCCCCGCCCACGGAGGGTCTCCTCCCACTGTTTCCTTCAACTTTCCCCGCCTCTCGTCCCGGGGCTTGGGGAGACCTCAGACCCCGCCCACCCACCGTGACCCACGGTTATTGGTGACTGCTGTCCGTCCATCAGAAGAAATACGGTCGCGAATTGGCTGGAAGAAAGTAGCAGGCACGGAGTCTGCGCGAGTTGCTTGGCCCGCCGAGGGGGCGGGCCGGCGGCCCCCGCCCAT